GAAAGGGAGCGAGCCAGCGATCGAGCGCGGGTAGGGAGTAGAGAAGAGAAAGAAAATGGCGTCTGCTCTGAAAGCTCACCCCCGCATAAGCATCCCTCCCTTCAAGTACACGAATTCTTCCCTCTCCTTCCCCTTCGGCCCTCTCGCCTCCGGGCCCTTAAGTTTTTTTTTTTTTTCCCTCGCCGCAGCCACGTACCTTTCTCTTGGGCATGTCAGCGGCGCGTGAGGGAGGGAGAGCGAGAAGGCGGCTCGGATTGAAACGAGAAAGGCAAGGTCTCTAGGCGGAAGGAGAAACTCGGATGTTTGGGAGGGAAAGCCGCGCAGAAAGGGAGGACGGAAAATAAAAACAAGGAGGGGGGGAAAGGGGATTCCGTTTGTCGGGCTCGCTTGTGTAGCTCGCGACCCCACTAATTTGAATCGGGTGTTTATAAAGTTTTATATAGAGCCGGACGCGGCCCAACCGGTTCCAGCCGGATCCCCACCGCCCCGACCAACCATTGGACAGAGCGGGTCACGTGGCGAGGGACAGACAGCCAGGGCGGGTTCTGTGAGGGGAGGTGAAGAGCGCGCGCGCGCGCAACTGAACGTCCACCTTTATCTCCGCCAAAGCGGCCGTTTGGTTCTGCTGCAAATAGACCCGGAGATTTATTTGATGCTTGAAAAGTGAGAACAGGTAGAATAAAAGAAACGGTGTTTCCCCCCTCCCCGCCCGCTACGCCGAAAGAGATTGAGAAAAAACGGGTTTTTCCCCCCCCCGTGGGAGCCGTTCCCCCCCCAGTTATGTATAAATCTAGCGAACTGATTGCAAAATTGAATTTCAACGTCACTCTGGATGCCCCCACCGTGGTAAATAAGAAACACGCCTGGCCCCGGTGTTAATGCGTCGCAAAAGTCATTTTCGGCTGGTGCAACCTCCCCGCAACGATCCAAGAGCCCCACGGCTCGGGTCAGCCAGCCGAAGCTTGCAGTCTTCGGGGATCCAGGCAGCCTAATGGCTCTTCGCGGAGGAGTGGAAGGTGGACTTCCCCGGCGCACCTGGCCAGCCGAGGCGCGCGCTTTCCTTCCGGAGGTGCAGAGCGAGGGACCGCCGGGCTTGCGGCCGAGAGTGCCTATTGCCGACCGTTAAACCCTCGTTTGACAGGAATCTGGGTGCAAGACGGGGGGGGGGAAGATGGTGGCCTCTTCCCTGCGCTGGAAGGGAAGAGGAAGGTGCGGTCATTGCCTCGCCACGGCGGAACGCAACCCACAGCGCCCCCTTCCTTTTCAACCTTGGCTGGGAAGTGGCAGGGTCTTATCCGGGACCTGGCGGCAAAAAGGCTTCATATGAAGAAGGCGCCTTTCGAAAAAGGGGGCGAAGTGATGGCTGGTGGTCCACCTTTTTTTACCCGAGGCGCTTCCTTCATGGGGTCGAGCGGGGAGCTGTCCTTTTCAGCACCACGCTGCCGTGCTACCACAATCCCCATCGACTCCAAGGTCAAAACACGCCTGCAAAGAGTAGACCACCAACATGACCCGCCTCTCGCACAACCGTACCAACTACGTTTGATCAGCCGTCCAAATTAGCATTTCCTTTCATTGATACTTGGCAACTGGCATTACAAAATATGGCTGATGTTCTACCCTTGTCGACTGTGAGTTGCCTAGAGGCAACTGGTTGATTACTCTGGGAAGATGATGGACAAGAGTCTTTATTTTTGAACCCAACTGGATTGTACGAGGTTGGAAGAGCCTAATTTACATACCTACGGTGTTTCTTCCTCTTCAGTCCCTGGTAGGACTGAAACTAGCCTGCCATGTGCAAAACATTCACTACCACTGAACGTGCAGCCATTCTCTTAAAACCACAACAAATCAGGTACAGTAAAAAAAAGTGCTGGCTAAATAGTTCTATTTAAAAATAGCAGAGACTAGATCTTTATCAGGTGAGCTACATGATTTTGGTTAGATAGTAGCTATGCATGGCTGGCCTTTCAGATTTTGTAGGGAACAGCAGCTGGTGATTCCAGATTTGTGGGAGGTGAAGAAAAATAAGGCAAGATAATGCTTCTCTGTAGCCACATTATTGCTTTGAATTGACCTCCCATTGGAGATCAGACTTGCCTCCCTCACTTGTGATATTTAGAAAGCTATGAAAAACCAAATAATTCCAGAGATGATTTTTGCAACCTTGCCAGCTAATTTCTTGCCATTTTTATTTCACTCCTTTGTCACCTATGTTGGTATTCTATGTGGTAATTTAAATCATAATTTTGCTGTACTCATTGTTGAGAGTTCTTTGGATACAATGGGTGTGAATTCAATAAGCTCAACAGTTTTTTTACTTTGAATTTTCTTTCTCTGAGCGAAAGGCATTAGAAAAATTGGATTCTCAATCAAACACACATAACATCAAAACAAAGTGCTCCTTTAGTTGCTGTAGTTAATGGCTGGAACCCATCCTCTAATAATAATAATAATAATAATAATAATAATAATAATAATAATAATAATAATAATAATAATAATAATGTTGGAAGGGACCTTGGAGGTCATCTAGTCCAACCCCCTGCTCAGGCAGGAAACCCTATACCATTTCAGACAAATGGCTGCCCAGTCTCTTCTTAAAAACTTCCAGTGTTGGAGCATCCAAAGCTTCTGGAGGCAGGTTGTTCCACTGGTTAATTGTTCTGTCAGGAAGTTTCTCCTTAGTTCTAGGTTGCTTCTCTCTTTGGTTAGTTTCCATCCATTGCTTCTTATCCTGCCTTCCAGTGCTTTGGAGAGTAGCTTGACTCCCTCTTCTTTGTGGCAGCCCCTGAGATATTGGAACACTGCTATCATGTCCCCCCTCGTCCTTCTCTTCATTAAATTAGACATACCCAATTCCAGCAAATGTTCTTTATATGTTTTAGCCTCCAGACTTCTAATCATCTTTGTTGCTCTTCTCTGTATTCTTTCTAGAGTCTCAACATCTTTTTTACATTGTGGTGACCAAAACTGGATGCAGTGTTCCAAGTGTGGCCTTACCAAGGCATTGTAAAGTGGTATTAATACTTCATGTGATCTTGATTCTATCCCTGTTAATGCAGCCTAACACTGTGTTGGCTTTTTTGGCAGCTTCAGCACACTGCTGGCTCATATCTAAGTGATTGTCCACTAGGACTCCGAGGTCCCTCTTACAGTTGCTACTATTGAGCAAGGTACCCCCTCTACTATACCTGTACATTTGGTCTTTCTTGCCTAAATGTAAAACTTTACTTTTTTCAGCGTTGAATTTCATTTTGTTAGATAGAGCCCAAGTACTGGAAGACAGTATTTGAAGCAATTTAAAATACAATGTTTAAAGTGACAAGTGCCCAAAGTACCCAGCCTCAATTTTTTTAATCCATCTGCACTCTACACAATCAGTTTGATATAAAAATTCTAGATAAAAATTATTGGAGATTTGTTTTTGAATTATTCTTAGTAAGGAGTATGAAGGAAGAAAAATGTAAATAAGAAACAACGGGGCAATAAGGACAAATATTCTAAAGAAGAATAAGGGGGAGAAATGTAAATAATAGAAGATTACCATTACGTAATCGCTGTTAAAAAAAGGGAGAGAAGTATATACTGTGTATGTATGTGTGTTATGTTTTGTTTTGTTGGTTTAAAAATAAAAATAAATTAAAAAAAATATTGAAGAAAACACTATTATCTTACTTAAAGTCTATTGCTTGAATTATCTAGGAGCCCTAAATACTAGGGCAGTGTTTCTCAACCTTGGGTATTTGAAAATATGTGAACTTCAACTTCCAGAATTCTCCAGCCAACATAAAGTGACCAAGACTGAGAAACATTGTACTAGGGCCAAGAAGTCTACTATGGCCACAATAGTCATCAGCTTAGTTGTTCACCCAGGACCCCTGTACAATGGGTATGAATGCTTTAATCCAGTCTTTGGTTCATTAAGGAGCCCCAACTAAGCACATAAAAGGGAATTTCTATTCACGATTCAACTTGACATTTCATTGTCAATTTATTCACCAAAATAAGCTCAATGTATCTGCTGACTGAGTTATGAAGGAGCACTCCAGCTCACAATAAACCATATGCAAGACTTTCACATAGATATCTAGGAGTTTCTGCTCAACGGATAAAGCAGATGGCTGGCCATAGGACTGTTACACAGATACTGTGCAGTTATAGTAATAGTAATTAGCGTTTTGTTGGATTTTGGGGCACCAAACATGAAAATAGTTGCTTTTTAGTTCTCTGTTCATCTAAATATCCAACAGGAATCAATGCTCAATGAAATAAGTTGTTGGACTAGACACTTTACAAACACAAGCAGTATCTATAGTGACACACACTACAACCCTGAAGGGCTGGGAGCCTACCTTTGATTTCAGTATCATATAGGGATTTTTAAAGATGCAAAATCTCTAATTCTCCATTAAATATGCCATTAGCCCTTTTTTCAGGAAACTATCAAAATTTTGTTTTTAATGCAGAAACGTTAATATATTATTTCCTTATCAGTAAAAGATTTTGTGGTTGGGATTTTGTATTTTACTTTTTGTCACAGTAATAAAAAGGATCTTTAGAAATAGAGATCAAATGAAGCAACCCTTTCAAACATGGCAGTGTAATGTAACAGGTGAAATTACTGCTTGAGAACAAAATACCCATTAATTTATTGGTCACCATTCTTCCCTTGTATATGGCCTCAGTTTTATTTTTTTTAAAAAAATAGCTCCAGCAGGTTGTTAAATATCAATAGGCTTGACAACTGGTTCATCCCTCACGATTTCAAAATTAAATGCTTTAGAATAATAGAAGCATACTCTTTAGTCTTTGAAAAGCAACATGGAATAATAGGTGGCTTCTTTTGAAAAACAAACGGTTGTATTTATAGTTGATGCCCTTTATCTTTTTCAGTTATTTACACCATGCTGCACTTTTGTGTAAAAGGACATTTTGTAGTACTATCCAAAGGTAAAATGCCTTCTCAAACAAATCTGAAGATACTGCATCAAAAAATCTTGAAGTTCTGTTGTACCCAACACATTCCCATAATCCAGAAGTATATATAGATTTAACCTGACATTTTCCTAGCTTACTAAAGCTAGAGGAACAATGCATGTTCCTCTGAAACTTACGTACAATCCTATATCATATACTGGTAGCAAGAATGGAAAAACAAATGATCCAGAAACAGCTAATCTGTAAAAATGAAGGCAACAAAGAAAAGAATAAACATTTAATTTATTCCAGAGTAAATCTGCTTGGGTGTATGCAATGGGATCTGTCTCTAATCTCAGATGCAGCATCTCTGCATTCCAGTGCAAGCAGCTTTTCAGGATTCTGTTAAGTCTTTGTTTTGTGGCAGAGCAAAACTGCAATTTGGAGAATATGGAGCAATCCCTCCCCCCCCCCCCCCCGCATGCACAGATCTTCACACCTAGAAAGATTTGATGTTATTCTTTACACAAATACCTTTTGTTTCATTAAATTTGGTAAACATACACTTCAAACGTCATGGTCCCCAGCCATGTGCATGTACGCATAGAATAAACCTAGGATCCCATTTCACGTCATCCACTGGGCAGCAATTGGATTATTTGCAACTTGGCTCATTTTTTCCCCCTCCTCTCCCCTATACCCAAGAGGAACCTTATTATCTTGCAGCTGCCATAGTTAGTTTTTCTAGGAAGTCCACCCTTTTGTGCTCCAGGGCCTGCAAAAAACTTTGAATCCTCTCTTCCCGTTTAGCTTTGAATTCTTGCAAAAGTGTCCAGCATTTTTGAGTATCTCCATAAGTTGCCGATCCTTCATCTTTTAGTTTCTGTAAGACTTGTGCCTTATCTGTTTCTAACTGTTGACACTTCCTTTCTTCCATATATAAATCTCTGGCTTTCTGGCAAAAAAAGCAATAATGATGCATTAGGTTTCTGAGCATACATCAGCATCCGTCTATCAGTACCTTCCAAAGGTCTTGGACTTCAAGGCAAACCATATTATGATTTGGCTCACAGCATTCTCTCCTGTTTATAAAATTCCCTTAGGCCAGCAAGTAATGAAGTTTCAGTCCTTCCTCCTGTACATTTTGTCTTTTTTTCCCAATCCCTTTCCTCTTAACTGCGGCAAACAATTGGCATGGTCACTATTGAAGATCTTTGATGTTTATACCTTGCCATTAGTTTTTATACAACAGAATGTAATAGCTCAGAAAACACTTACAAAATTAGAAGACATGTGCAGTTCATTCCAGATCAGGTTGGGTTGTTGGGGCAAGACTGAAAAACTTTTTACCATGAAGCCAAAATGAATTGATGAGAATTCAGTGCTGGCAGATATTCAGCCCATTTGCCTATTGACTAATAAATGAAACTAGAATTCTATTTTACCCTTTTTTTGGTTTTTGAATGCATGTATAAACTTTCTAAGATTATAGAGATTTCATAGCCACTTCTATTTTTTTTCCTGGGAGCTAATGAAATAATTATCCTATCTCTTCAGAGGGACAAGTTTATCATCTGGACAAAAGTACAAAGTATTGTAAGCAATTATCATATTGTCACTGTTTGCACAATAAAGAATATCGACGGAATGAAAATCCAACAATCTGTAGGTCTTCAGGGCACTATCTACTGTATTCTGTCAGAACAATCCTATCAACTGTTCGGATACATTCCACATCTGTTGTCTCTCCAGTGCCCCAAACCCTCTTGTGTAGCTAGGAATACTGATCATCCTTTGACTTTTCTCCACTATCGTTCCAATCCTGTCCCCTAGCATTAGTTTGAAAAGCCTCAGCAAGCAAAAGATGCTGTTTTCCTGTCTCCAAAATCTTGGGACAGGCAGTTCAATTATTTAAAGTACATATGCTGAGGGCTTGAGAATGTTTTTTTACTTAGCCTTTTCTTTCTTCAGTCTTACTTGTAATGCATTGTAGTTCATCTGAAACCGAACGATGGCCTCGCATAAATTCCAGAAGGAATAATCTGGCCACAGAACACTTTGGAACACAAGGCAAGAATGGGATGTCTGAGAAAAGAGAGAAAGGCAATTAATACACGGGCTAGAAAGGAAAGGAAGGTAATCAAAACACGCAACATTACTAGATTATTTCAAAACAAAGTTCCTTTCCAGTTGTTCAACAATTCTGAAATGGGCAGTACACGCTGTCTCCTATGTCAGCTTGGGGGCGGGGGCTATAAAAACTGATCAAGAAGTAGTAGTAGTCCAGCTTAGAATCACAGCGTGTAAGGACTGGAAGGGACATCAGAAAAAAATCTAGAAAACCCGTCCATTCAGTGCATCAGCTATATTAAGGAGATCTACACTATGCTATAGAGTATACAGTATATACTACAGCTCTTGGAATATAATAGATATATAATAGTACTGTATATTATACTATAGCCCTTGGCAGCATGCATCCGTAAATCTAGAAAGACCAAACTATGACTGTTCCTGCCAGAAAGTTACAAAAGTGTCCTAAGATAGCCTTCTCCATCTTTTTTCCTTGCTATTAATGATTAGATTGCAAATTCAAAGGCAGCTTTATTTTATTACTTATATTTGCAATTAGGTTAACGAGTCCTTTTAATATAAAAGTATCGGGCAGAAATGCTTAAAATAAACTTGCTTTCTGGAGCTTGCACTGTCTTGTATAGGAATCAGCCTTGTTAAAAGTATGAAGAAAGAGCCTGTAACAGTTTCCAGAAGTGTTTTAACCCCAGATATAATTCTTTGTGGAAACTATATACAGCTTCCCCTGTTTTACCATTGATGAAGAACAACGGGTATTTGTGAAAGAGCTGATAGTGAATCAGATAATGATCTACCTACTTGGTAGTTCCTTTGCTAGGATGGCAGAACGCCACATTTTTTTCAACGATCTCTCTGAAAGACTTATTATAGCAGTTTCCAGGAAGAGAGTTCAGCGATTTTGTGTTTGTTTTTTTTTTAAGAGGAGTGTTTATCATACAAGGTCTTTTCTTATATCCAACAACAAAACCCAGAGAGCTGAATGTCAAATGATTGCAAAGCAAGAAAATCTGATTTTGCTAATTAGCTGGTGAGATATATTGCACTATAGATTTACCTGCCAGAGCATAAAATCACTAAGTCGAACTTCTCCAGATGTTCTGATCAGAATGTCTGGGTGAGGAGATTTGCAGGAGTAAAGGCATTTGTCGATGAGAGATTCTGACACATCACTGAGGGAGGAAATGAGAGAGAGAGAGAGAGAGAAACAGAGAAACACCAGAATTTACTTTGGGAAGCCTAATCTTAAAATGCAATTCAAGAATTATAATGTTAATTCACATAGTCTGAATTCCTATTATTGCTACAGTTTGGAGCAAAATGGACACAACTATTAATGGCTATTAAAGTTATTATACTTACTATTAGTTAATGGTTTATAGTTATTGGGTAATATTTATTAACTAATAAAAGTGCTGGTTATCATTTTTGAAGCCCTACATGGCACAGGGCCCAGTTACTTGAAGGACTGTTTCTTTTTCCTATCCTACTAGATTAGATTGGGCACACTGCAGGTCCTCTCCCTCATGTTGCTACCTGATGGGACCTGAGAGGTATGTCTTCTTGGTGGCTGCTGCAGCCCTTTGGAACAGCCTGCCACCTGAGATCTCAAGGATCCTTATCCTTTTAGCTTACCACTAGGCCTTGAAGACCTGACTCTTTCCCCAAACATTGGACTAGGGCGGGGGTTGAGATATGAGGATGTTTGGAGGGGAAGGATATTCTTGTTTTTAAACATGTTTTTATGGATTGATGTGAGCCACAGGACTTATATGGCTGCCTATCTCATACTAGAGTCCTTGTATGAGATAGGCAGCCATACAAGTCCTGTAAATAACTAAAAACAATTATGTGACTTCAGACCAACAATGCATGCCAGGGTCACACAAGTTTTCTTGGATGTCTCTGGAGTATTTGGGATCTATTAAGGATGAGGAGGATGGATATTATACAATTATACAATTTACACAACTGCCAATGGACAACTATTTTGATATGAAGCAAAATTGCTCCCCAGTCCAATGTTTCCATTCTCTCTCTATACCATCTTTCTTCTTTCCAACTGATGATGTTCAAATGCAATTGTCTTTAGCAGTTAACCTGTGCATCTCTTTTTTCAGCTTTAGTTAACTTGATCCTGGCAAGAATATTAGTAGTTATCAGTCTTAATAGTAGTATGCTACTTCTCAAATGCTATGACTGTGCAATGAAGTTACATGTCTTATTTTGTCTGTATATGGTAAATTAGTTTGTGATTTGGCAGAACCTTTTATCCTCTAAGCCAGGGGTGTCAAACTGCTGGCCCGCGGGCTGGACGCGTCACGAAACTGCGCCCATTCCATTGCTGGCAATGGGGAAAAAGCTCCAAGACATCATGTGACATTGTGAGTTTGACATATCTGCTCTAAGCTAAAAGATCCCATAAAAACATTTGTAAATATAGTTAAAAACTAAATAAATTACAGCTGCTCCTTGTTTAGAGACCCCAGTTAGAGAGCATTTTCAGATATATTGGTTAAAAAAAAGTAATAAAAAAAATCTGATAAATGGGTGCATTTACCACCAAATTTCAGGTGCCTGACAACAAAAGCCTTTAGTGCAGACATGTCAAACTCACGACGTCATGTGACATTGCGCAACGTATCAGGAGTTTTGCCATTGCCGGCAATGGGGTACGTGCGGCTTCCGCATCACGCATCCGGTCTGCGGGCTGGCAGTTTGACACCCCTGCCTTAGTGTGAAACTGATTAAGATCTGGTCAGTTTCAGGCAGCAGTTAAGCCACTGTAATTAATGTCATAGATGGGCTTGTTAACTTGCAGTTAGCTCTTTTTTCAGGAAGGGCTGGGGAGAAAAGCAACTCAGGAAGAGATAGAAATTTAAGCAATCTCTCCATACTGCAAAGGGGCGAAAAAGGAAAATTAAAAGGTCAGGCACAGAACATGACCACTTAGTGACCATTTCATTTGACAACAAAGCTGCTGGAACATATTGTAATAGTTAAATGAGAAGGTGCAAAAGCTAGTGGTTAAGGCACCAGGCTAGAAAGCAAGAGACCGTGAGTTCAAGTTCCGCCTTAGCCATGAAAGCTGGCTGGGTGACTTTGGGCCAGTCATTCTCTCTTAGCTGAACCCACCTCACAGCGTTGTTGCTGTGGGAAAATAGAAGGAAGAAAATGTGTTTGGATATGTTCACCACCTTGAGTTATTTGTGAAAATAATAAAGATGGCATATAAATAACTCACCCCAGGACAATATGCTGTAGCCAACTCGCCTTGGCCAACTTGCCACAGGATAACTTGCTGCGGCCAACTCACCACGGGACAATTCAACGCAGGACAACTCAAAATAAGGACAAGTGAATTGCAGCAGGCCTCGTCTTGCTTTAGGTTTGAACTGTCTCAAGTTAAAACTCCTCGAGGCTGAGGTGAGCTGCAATTCTATTTGTCCCTTTCTTGAGTTACCCCACGTTGTACTGTCCTGCGAGAAGCTGTCCCGTGGTGAGTTAGGTGGGGTGTTGTCCAACAGTGAGTTGGGCTGGGGTGAGTCAGTTGCAGTGACCTAGCCGGGGTGAGTTGGCCATGACGAGTTGTTCCATTACGTCAGTATCTGCTTTGCTGATTTTTTCAAGCATTTTGCATATCTATCACTTTCAAAGTTTTCTAAGTACTTTAAATGTTTATGGAGTATTTATTTTTAGCCCACTAAATATTTTGAAAATAACTTCAAGAAAATATGTAGATAGGTTCATAATTGACTCAAGAGTCATGCAAACCGTATGTTCTATGGCGTTACCTGGGTTGCAGCAGTCCTTCTTCAACACCCCAAGCCAATTCTTTCACTGCATTACTGATCTCCTGTCTTGACGTGTATGCAAAGCCAATGTTCAAGAAACACCTTTGAGTATGAAAAAGACAGATTATTCATTGTGTAGAGCAAACATGTCAAACTCGCAACATCACGCAACATATTGGGACAGTTTTGCCATTGCCGGCAATGGGGTGGGCGCGGCTTCCAGATGACGCATCTGGCCTGCAGGCCAGCAGTTTGACACCCCTGGTGTAGAGGAAGCAGACCAAGGAATAAAGAACAAATCTACACAGTAGTAAGGATGACACTGTGTAGAAGAAACCTAATCCCATGGACCTTACTTTTCTTGCCAGAAAGGGGCCATTGAGACCTTTGTGACAGAGTTCACCCACTGCATTATACTTTATAGTTATGGCTGCAAGACTAGTCAAAATTAGTTTCAATTAATAAACTACTACTGCACTAAACCATATGCTTAACATGATAACTGAACAAACCCACACTTCATTGGGTTCATTTAATACGTTAACTCATACTGCATTCCAAATTTACAAGCATGATTATGTTTCCCCAACATTCTATGTGAAAGCTAAAGAAGTCATATTATGGCTACTGAACAAATTTAGGCTGTAATCAAACTCAGCACTCCAATTTTTTATTTATTCATCATATTTACCTAGCTATCCATGTCACAAAACGTGACTCTGGGCAGCATACAATAAACAACAGCTTAAGAAGGTATTAGTTCAGACAGCTAAAGAGATATTCTATGTACAAAAGCAGTGTTCCTCTATATACTGCTTTAGGGAAGTAACAAAAGAAATTTGTGATGCTTCTTGGTTGTTGGTCACTGTAGTTGAGAGGACCCAGACTAAGGCCATCCATTGGGCTGATCATACTGAGCTTTCTTAAGAACCCCAATCTACTGGAATATGCTTTTGAAAAGGAGGGCAGCAGTATCTCTATACAGTATCCATGGAGATAACGTATGGAGAATGGGAGGTCAAAAAAGGACAATATGTAGCTAGCTCTCTGTATAAGGGAAGCGGCGTCCAAGTTAAAATTCTGGCCCGGTATAGCATGGTCTTTGATCTGAAAAAACAAACAAACCTGCAGTTCTGGAGTAGGAGAAAAAGTTCAAGAAACTAGAAACAAACTCACGTGTTATAATGCTTAGTTGCCAACACAACCTTAGCAATCAGTTCCTGGACATCCTGTGGCAGAAGAGACAGATCGCCAAGAATTCGAATACACACACCATGTTTCTCCAAGTTCTCTCTGAGGAGGAAGAATGTTGAAGAGAAAAACCAAATTCTTTTTTTAAAAAAGGAAGCCAAGCCGAAGCAATATCTATAAATTCATTTGTATCTATAAAATCATGTAATTGAGACTTGATTATTCAGAAATAAGCTGATAACTTGAAACAAAAGATGTGTGATGTGGGGAGAGAAACATACAACAAATAGACTTCCTAATGAGTAAAAGAGGAAATGCAACTATATGGATAACAATAAGGCAGCAATAAGGTTTGAAATTTTCCTATCAGGTTCTGCAGGCTTTTAATATACTGCCTGGCAAGTATTCAAATGGCATTAACATGTAGTGGATTAAAAAGTCACCTACTACTGCATGTAATGGCATTAATTTTCTTAACTGCTCTTCATGATTTCAAGCGTGAATGGAAAAGCAAAATCTGTCCTTAGAAGTCAAACTGCTCGCACATTCTTCTCAGATGCAGCTTCCTCCCCAAAATTAAATAACCAAGCACCTTGTCAGGCATATCGGTAATTGTATGTGGAAATACAAAATATTAAATAAATTGATATACATTGGCTTATCACTGACTGAATTTATGCACTGCAGAAAGCCAGAATATACTTTGTATGGTTTTCATTTAAAATGCTGTGTGAACGCAGCTATTATAGGCTCTTCGACCATGTTTAGCATGATGCACGAACTCAGCGGGTAATAATCGTCTTCACTGAATGTGAAGGGGACTTCCACATTCTGAACAATTTAAGAGAAATATATACAATTATACAGGTAGTCCTTGACTTATGACCATTTGTTTTAACAATAGTTTGAACTTCTGATGGTACTGGAAAAGTGAGTTATGACCTGTCCTTGAAGTTATGACTGTTGCAGCACCCCATGGTCATGTGATCACAATTTGCAACCTTCCCAGCCGGCTTCTGATGAGCAAAGTCAACGGGAAAGCAGGCAAGGAAGGCTGAAAATCATAATCACATGATTAATGACCGGTGATTCACTTGATCATGGCAAAATCATGGAATAATCATGGAACAGAAAAAAAGAGTCTTACTGTTCTTCAAGAAGACGGATGAATTTTTGTCTAGCCAATTGCATCAAGCCCTCAACCTCTTCTCGAGATCGCTTGAAATTCTCAATGCTAAAGGCATAAACTGTGACTTCCCGGATACCTAGACTCAAGCACCATTGTAATGTCTAAAGAAGAAGAAAAGTTAAGGCAGGAGTAGAATTAACACCTTGATTTAGTCTCCCCATTTAGTGGGTGCAATAGACTATAGGTCTGACTAGTTATCACCCTAAACCAGGGATGTCAAACTGCCGGCCTGTGGGCTGGACGCGTCACACTGAAGCCGCGCCCACCTCATTGCAATGGCAAAACTGTCCTGATACATTGCGCGACATCACGTGATGTTACACGTTTGACATGTCTGCCCTGAACCATTGGGCAAGTCCATTCCATCTGAATCTGAAGGTGGCAATTTAAGTTAATTTTATATCACCCAGTGATTTACAGATATGTCATTTGTATTATATTACTGTATCAAATGATGCAACATACAACACTGGCAATGATTTGTGTAATTTAGTAATCTAAGTTGCCTTGAATAATTTGTGTTTTAGCCCATGTTTGGGATTAACAGACATCTCTTCCCTGCAGCTGATCCACTCAACTGAGGTTCTATTATAATTATACATTACTTTTCGGAAATTTTAGACAAGCTGATGCAAGAAAGCAAGTAATCTTTACTGCTGTTTAGCAACAAGTTTTCCCTTCTCTTAAATGAAGGGTGTATAATTCTTACTGGTTCAAATGCTGCATTTTGGGAGGAGAGTTTAGACAAATTTAAGGAGTGAAACTATCACCTTAACACTTGCAAAATAATCAACTTGCATTTAAAAAAAAACAGAATGGAAAACATTTTCTTTTTTTTTAACCCCCTAACTTTCCAAAGACTCTAATATCACAAAAACGGGATGCATCCTGCTAAATTAATTGGAGTTGGTGACCTGCAAATCAGACGCAACTGGTATACTGGTACATGTATACAGTGCATCACTGACTTCTCCCTCGTAAGTTATGAACATCCAATCTAGAAATATCCAAAGAGGAAAAAGGAGATCTCTCTCTCTCTCTCTTTCTCAGAGGTAACAATGTTTTCCTCCTCTCCACTCAGTGAACTGAGCAAGGAACAGACTCTAAGCATAGTTCCAATCCGATCAGTTTCAAAAGGTTTTTGAAATTAGTCCAAGTGGGAGCTACAGGTTTCCTGCTGGTTTTCTAACAGGGGAGTCGTGCTTTGGCAGGTCATAGTAATCACTTTGGGATCAATCATCTTTGCATTCCTGATATGCTCAGGAAAGATTCTTCCTACCTGTGTTAGTTTTGCAAAACCCTGTGAATGTCCTTCCAGCTTCTTCACATTATGCTTCTGAGCATAACGACGATTGCCATCCATGATGAATGCAATGTGCTTGGGCATTGGTCCTGCCTGGAATTGAAGCAAGAAATATCAGCCCGAGAGCAAGAGATATACAGTCAGCAAAAGTGGGACCAAAATCATTTTGAGATGACTCTGCACTTGAAATGAACTCTCTGTTCTGACCTCAAGAAGTATCCCAGGAATAAATCTGCAGTCTCCTCTTGAGCAATGGAGCTACAATCGCCATCGTCCTGCTGATGGAGCTGCAGTTTTTATACTCCTGAAATACTTTGAGGGAAGAGAGGAAGCGTGAAAGAGGCAGAGAAAAAAAAATCACAATCCCTCTCTACTTCTAGTCCTTTCAAAAAACTTTTAGAACCATCATTCCTGAGATGGGATGAAGATCAGAGAAAGAAAATATGGTTTAGAAACTGTATCCTGCAAATGGAAGGACGGCAGAACCACCCTGGAATTTTACTGACCTATACATATGAGATGCACGTTTATTTTAACATGTAAATCTCGCCTTCTCTTCCATAAAATACTGTGACAGGCAGTAAGAACCAATGATTCCAAGAACAGAACCAGAATTTAAAGATAGCAGCATGAAGATGCCATACAAGCTTTAAGGATGGGCAAAATGTCAAAGCTACGAATTCTGGGAACATAACTGGGGGGGTTATGAACATAACATAGTAGGGACAGCAGATATTAACAATTCTAAATTTAGTGAGTGGCAGCTTTGTACGATTCTGGTGGTTGTATAAAAGTTACAAGCTTTAGTGTTCTTCTGCCCACCATATCTAAGCAGATATCTTTTTGGCCTCCTCACAGAAATTTGCCCTTGGATCTTTTACTCAAAGGTACATTAACAAATAGAATCTACACGAAGAGGAAGACAGTTCTTAGCTGGCATGACTTAACCATCATCTAGGGATACAATTCTCAACTGTGTTCTCTTCCAAAGTTTTGGACAAGGATACCCACCATCTGACACCCCCTCCCCAGGTAAGCTGGCTGGAATAACTGATGTCGAGGCCAAAGCATCTGGAAGGGCTTCAATCTGAAGAAGGTTGTTTCCTCACCCCTTAAATATTAAACATTCTAATCTAATATTTCTAGATAAGCATTACATTTCAGTAACTGACGATAACATTGAGTTAGTACATACCTTTATTACACTAGCACAGAATCTCTCCAAAAGGGACAGTTCACCTTCTCTTATCCACGACATGGCACTTCCTTTCAAGTACACGTCTTTGAAATTAAGAGAATAAACAGTAATGGGCAGGAATTCTGAGACAGAAGAACGTTCGGATTCATAAGTATACCAACTCTTCGCATATGAAAGCCAGCACCATCTATCTTCCCTAAATTTTTGTATACTGGGACTGTGAAGGCTGGCCCGGCTGGGTATTCTGGGTGCTATACTCCGGACATATTTGAGGGTGACAGATTAGGTGAGATTATCCCTCTTATCCTCCTGCCCCCCCCCAATGTTATTGTTTGCTTGGGGAAGAGGATATAGATTCCCACCTAAATATTCCAACTAACCTAATGAAGCTGGTTTGGTACAATAGTTAAGGCACCAGGCTAAAAAACAGGAGTCCCACCTTGGGCCAGTTCACCAGAAGATGATGCAAACTATCTCTTTGTTTAAGCCAGGAGTCTTCAAGCTTGGCCCTTTTATGACTAGTGGACTCCAAGTCCCAGAATTCCTCAGGCAGGCACGCTGACTGAGGAATTCTGGGAGTTGAAGTCCACAAGTCATAAAAGGGCCAAGTTTGAAGACCCCTGGTTTAAGCACAAGGAGGAGAAAAGGAAACTTCATCTTTAAAATACATGGAAACAACCATGCCCACAATAATAAACATTTACATGGCTATTTCAGTGAAATGACAGGAATAGAAGCATGGCATTCCTTTTCAGGTGGCAGGGATGGGATGGGGGAGGCTGTTCTTTCTACAGGCTCTTTCCAAGCTAAAATACTCCTTTATTCAAACTGGTTTCCTTCTGACCTCCTAAAAGCCTCTATATTTTTTTTGGGAGGGGGGGCAACAATTTCAAACTAATTTACCACCGCTGTCTTCAGGGATTTTTTTTTTTTTAATCTTCCAGCCAAAATTCTTCTGGGAATTTTCTATAGTTGCCCCCTTCAAATATGAGCTTATTTCAAAGACCAGATAAGGATAGCCAGGTGCTACTTCGGCCTCAGAGCTAGTGGTTTAGGAAGCTTCCATTACTGTGAGGGAAAACAGTATTTCCAGAGACTAAATGTAACTGCATTATTAATATTTTTCATTTAATGGTAAAGTTATAATAGAATATAAACAGATTAAAGGTTAATATTTGCAAATATTTATTAATAAAAAATGCAATGAATTAAGGGTTTGTTTTTTGTCAAATATAAACCAGTCTCCTGTCATATGAACACTTGTCAGTTCTAGACTAGTTATTTTACAAGTCTGCACGCTTTTCTTGTTTCCACAGAAGCCAATTTAAATAAAATGTACAATAGCACGTGTTATCTATCCCATAGAGTGCAATCTTGCTTCCTGTGTACAGACTTAAATTTATATCAGATTGTCCCACTGGCTTTTTGCGCCCATTTTCCCTGCCTGGATTTGTTAGGATGGAGAAATACTATCCTTTCAGGTTAAGTCCTGTCGAATTGGTTGAGACTTATTATGTGAAGGACTTATGACACATTTCATTACTAATGATCAGATTAATCCTCAATCAATGGCTGTTAGCCCAAACCAACCAGCAGTGATAGGCACACACTGTATGCTAAGCTTGGTTAGCATTTAATCTTGGTCCAGCTTTTTCCGTGGCTCGCGCTGTTGCACAAACTCGCCCAGTTCAATCAGTTTAGGACACAGCGCCTCACGCCAGTCCTGAAAAGGCATTAAATGAAACGCCCGGGGAATGCCATCAACGAAAGGGCTTTTGCACGTGTACGTGAGGATATACATACACACGCCATTGGGGTCCCGTTCAAAAGCACCGCGGTGGAATCTTACTCCCCCGTCCTCCTTAGAAACAAAGGCACAAGCGGACCCCGTTCCTTCCCGTCCCACCCGCTTCATTCAATCCAGGAACAGCGGGCATTCCTCCACGGCAGCCAGATCGGCAGCAGAACCGGCCCGGAGCGCCCCGCACGCGCCTGCATCGCTACCAACCCCTCCCTCACCTGTCGGGCTCCAGCTAGCGCCTGCCTGCGCCTCGGCGGTCCCGCCACGACTCTTCTGCCAGGGGTGGGACGCGCCCTTCCGTATTTGTCACGCCGCCCCAGCTGCCGCCTTGCGTCATTCCGCGCGCGAACGGGGGCGGGATTAATCACGAGGCGGGGCCGGAGGGCGGAGCCGGGGTTCCGCGGAGTCGACTCCGTTGCTTCCGAGGCGCCCGGCGTCTTTGAGGGGACCGTTGGGTGGCGCGCGGAGCGGCGGTTGACCGAGCTGCAGCCGTTCCGGGGGGGTCGTTTGACTTTTTGCCCTACCCCCTCAGCTGCCGCCGTCGTTGTCGTTCTTGTTCTTCAAGGGGTGGCTTAGAGGCTGTCTTAGGACGGTGAAAGGGCGTCGAAAGTAATCCTGACCGAACTGCGAAGCTAAAAGGAATTCGCGACGGAGTTTTTAAGCGTTTAACTCCGTCGTGGAAGTCATCCCTAATGGGTTCATTGGGGCAGTTGACTTCCAGGCGAGTGTTTATAACAATGTTTTGCCCAGCATTGGGGATTCTGGGAGTTGGAGTCCGCACATCTTAAAAGATGCTAAGTTTGAGCAATACTGGTCTGTAGATTGTAGCCTGACACCCAGCGCTACCTTTGCATAAATTGGACCCTTCAGTATATCATTCCCCAGTTGTTAATTTTTTTTTTTTTTTGGAAATATAAGCTACTTTCTGCACTTGATTTTTTTTCAGTAGTCACTAAGGACTTAATCTACAGTGTGTTGAAAATTAAGGGGGCATTTTACTATTTTTAAAGGAACTGTTACAAAGGATATTTCTTTCATTTAAAAACAAAACAAAGCAGTTGTTTAACGTAACATTTCTTGTGGTTGTTTATTGTTATGAATGGAATTTATCATCGTTTTCCCTTTTTTATTAAGACTTATCGAGAAAGGCATCAAATCTATTTGGCAGAATTGCTATGAGGATGAAGGGGGTGGGGTGATAATGTGCAGCCCTGCCCCAAGATTTTTGGAAAAATACATTGTAAATAATAATTATAAAAGTGTAATTAGAAAGGAGTGTGCCTTATGTTGTCAGCAAACGTGGGCAGCCACTAGATGAGAGCCCAGAGATACAGAAAACTTCCATGGTTTAACTAAAAGGAACTTGAGCTTGGATAGATAGATATTTAAAAAGAAAATTATCAAAGCAGCTTTTTCAATAAATTTAAGCTTATTCTACTGAATTACTAGCTGGGCTTGACAACACACTAGACCAGGGGTGTCCAACCTTGGCAACTTTAAGATCTATGGCAGTGGTTCTCAACCTTTTTAATGCCGCGACCCCCAACCGGTTGTAAGTCGAGGACTACTCAACCGGTCGTAAGTCGAGGACTACTCAACCGGTGCAGCACCGTTTGCAGAATGGGACTTTTGGCGGGCTCAGCAGGGCAGAGATAGCCTGGACAATTCCTACTGGCTTTTGAAAGCCAATAGAATTAGACTCTATTCAAGAGAGTCTATTCTATTGGCTTTCAAAAGCCAATAGAATAAAAGGGAGTAGCACAGCTAAGGAAAAGGGGGGGGGGAAATGGCGGACTGCATTGTTTGGCGACCCCCGTGAAATGGTCGTTCGACCCCAAATGGGGTCCTGACCCCCAGGTTGAGAAGCGCTGATCTGTGGACTTCAACTCTCCAAATTCCCCAGACATCCTTGCAGTAGACCAAGCTAAAATAGGAGTGGAGAGTTAGGGGTTTAATGTATATTACTGGTATGTGAACCGGGGCATTATGTGTCCAGATATACCAATTTATGTGAAGATAGGTTACATTTTACTAGGCAGTAATTATAGTGTGAGCCTTATCACTGTAAAATGATAATGAGAGGTGGTAAATAAATTAAATAAAAATAACAAAAGCAAAATTGAGAAGTCAAGACAGTAAAAATGAAAGATATCCATAGGGTGGAACAAAAAAGTCAAATTGGTGGCTGCAGTGGTGTAATTGAAACTCTTCTTGATGTTGTGTGTGTATTACACAAAAGATCTTTTTGAATCAGGAAAACTAGTTTAACTACTCAACTCACACCCACTTCCAGATTGAGAAAAGATAAATTGATATGGTGTTACTTTCAGCAGTGAAGAAAGCAATTGTAAGGCAAACCAGTCAAAAGCAAAGAAAATATATTGAATGGATGTGAAGCAAAGAGATGACATAAGCAGGAATGCATGGTTTTATAGTGGTCAAAGTAGACCAACTTTTTCGTGCTGCTGTGTACAGGGACAAGTGCAAGAACATGCATCAAGACAGCAAGCAGAAACAGCAAAAACTGGGAATATGAGGCAGATAGTATATTGAAAGAATGACATAGATATCAAGGGTTGACTACTGTAGAGTCTACAAATCAAACAGCATCATCGGAAGAATGAAGAAATAGTTGTTTAAAGAGGATCACTATATCACAGACTAAAGATGGAAAGAAATACAAGGAGTAGAAGGCTGAATATGGAGGAATTATGCTAGGTGTAAGTTGAAGGAGACAAGTTAATCAGTGGAAGAACTCCACAATGGAGAGCCTGAACATAGAACTATTCTTTCTTGGTGGACAAGTTCAAAAGAATGTTCAAGACAAATCCAGAGGTAAAGATCAAAGAGACAAGAAACAGAATATGGAAAGTGGATGAGTCAGGAAATTTTTCAACATGTCTATTGCAATCACCATTTCACAGATACAGCGCAATAAGAATTTTGTATAGGCTTAAGTATTGCAGAAAAGTTGATATCCTTTCAGTATGGGTTTCCCTGGCGGTTCATCAGGGAAGATCCATTCTCATGCTTTTCAAAATAGTTCATTTTAGTTTATTCAGTACAAGAAACCAGGTTAGAAGGAGAGGCTCACTGTTACAGATTGTCTGTATACGTCTCCCTTTCCCAATCCAGGAAGCATGCATCTGGTGAATAAAATATTCACTCCAAACAGCTGTTGTCTCCTTATCCTAAACTTACTCCCTTCTCATCATTTCAATCAAGGGACTGCGTTTAGCTACCTTGGCTTTTCTTATTTTATGCCTCCAAATGTGTTGAATGATATCTCTTGGTGGCAGTATTGACTGTAGCTGTATACCACTGGATGGCCTTGGTGGGGCATACCAGGATTTCATTACTACCTAGAGATTTCTAGGGCAGGAATGCAGAGACTTGGAAGAACACAACATGGAAAACCAGGCTTCAAAAATTCTTCAAAGAAGCATCCCAAAACTCAGAAGGGAAAGCAATACAACTGAAAAAATCTCCATGTTGGCCTTGGGCACCTCACTAGCAGTTTGCCTGACTTCTTGTTCAAATTGACTTTGGGATTTAGATTTTTTTCAAGTGATTGTTGTTGTTAGTTGCGAAGTTGTGTCCGACCTATCGCGACCCCATGGACAACGTTCCTCCAGGCCTCCCTGTCCTCTACCATCTTCTGAAGTCCGTTTAAGCTCACGCCTACTGTTTCAGTGACTCCATCCAGCCACCTCCTTCTCTGCTGTCCCCTTCTATTGGCCTCAATCTTTCCCAGCATTAGGCTCTTCTCTGAGTCCTTCCTTCTCATTAGGTGGCCAAAGTACTTGAGTTTCAACTTCAGAATCTGGTCTTCTAAAGAGCAGGCGGGTTTGATCTCTAGGACTGACTGGTTTGATCACCTTGTAGTCCTGGGGACTTGCAGGAGTCTTCTCCAGCACCATAGTTCAAAATTCATAGTTCAAGTGATAGGAGACATTAAGTGGAATGTTACAAAGCAAAGTATCTTTTCCTTAGTGTCATCTCTTGATTCTTCCAATGACCCCATATGCATTCTCCGAAAACAAAAATAGAGGGTTCTGCAGGATTTTGTTTGGAAATATTACTGCTTGCCCAAAACCAAAACTATATTGCAGCGATTCCTGAAGGCTAAAGGGGTAAGGTGAGTGCTTCACCATCCAGAAATGGTGCTTATAGTTGGCTAAGTCTTTGTGTCAAACATTTTTGGGAACATATTTGCGCTCCTCTCATGGCAAGCATAAAGTGACAGCACACACAAGATGCTCTCAAAATTGATTGAACCCCCAGATGTGGGATTTCTGCAAATGTATTAAAGATATTTTTCCTTTTCCTCCCCAGATATTGTGGTCAGTATAGAATAAGAGTAATCCTTGGAGAAAGCATTATGACCACGAGGTTCAGGATTCCATATTCCATGGATGTTTTCTTGTAAGTAACTAAGTTTTAGTGTTGTAGCTGTGCATCATAACAATGTAATATAGCTTTAAATCAGACATGTCAAACACAAGGCCTGGGGGCCGGATGTGGTTTCATGTGACCCGCAAAGCCATCCTGGAGACTGTGAGGGAATCGCCCCCGCTGCCTTGGCCCTGGCCCAGGCCGGCCGGGAGCCAATGTACAATTTTGTGGCCATCTATGCTGAAATGCATTCAGTCTTAGCTCCACAAGGCTGTCTAGAAACAGCGAGGAACCAGTGCCTGCTGCATCGGCCCCGCCCCCTGGGTGCATGCTGAGGAGGTGTCACCCTTTGTGAGGAATGAAGAAATGCACCATGCCTTGGCGCTTGCCCCGGTCCCACCCCCTTCTGCCAGAGACCCTCAGATCTGCCCAACTCCTGCCCAGGCCCCCACAGGCGATGTAGAGCTGGCCACGCCCAGCCAGTAGGCCACACCCACTCCATCCACGCCCACCCAATAGGCCATGCCCACCCTGGCCACACCCACCTGGCCTCCCCAAGGGCAACCACAATGCTGATGCGGCCCTCAATGAAATTGAGTTTTGACACCCCTGCTTTAAATGCAATAAAACAAAATCACAATATTTATAAAGACATACAAAGAGATCAAAACAAAATAAAGTCAGATTGAGAATTTAAATGTTTCTACGTTTACATTATAACAAATCAGAAGTAGAAACTTTTGCAAGGAACACAATCCTTTTATTTCCTCCCTCCTCATCCTGTCAGAACCTAACCTACCCCTCCCAACCATCTATTTTCAACTGTCAGTACCTTCCATCTCCCCCAACATCCATCACAACCAATGATGTTTCCTGGATAGGCAGCGAAACATCATCTTCCTCAAAAAATCAGTCCAATTGCCTTTAAAAAATAATTATTAAAAAACACCTTTGAGAAAAGCAAAAGTAGCAAT